CTCGATACATAGCCGCCTCCGGCGCCGGGAGGCGCCGGGAATATCGGCTATGTGAGTTGATTTTCAACCCGCCCTTTGCTATCCCCCCATTTCGCCCGACCCGAGAGGAGGATCGAGGTCGAGAACCGAGGAGGACCCAGGAGATTCGTGGAAGTTCGAGGATCGAGGTTGTCCAGCGTTGGGCTTATGGGCAGCGGCCTAGTAGGCCGTGTGTGCACATAAACCTACGACTGGACGTCGCAGGCCGATGGCGGAAGAGTTGCTGACTGTTGTTGCTTGTCTTTCTCCGATCACCTTCATATTCTTCCGCCTGTTCCTGTTTCTCCTCTTTTTTCTTCGGGGATCCGCTTGACAGCTATTGGTTGACATCGATTTGATCACATTGCTGGCAAATGCGCGAGAAGTGTCGTTGGGGCTGCACACCGTGCAGAACAGCATGTTCGAGGATCGAGGTTGATGGGTCAAGAGGGTCCTGACCTCTGGTGTGATGGAGAAGTGATCGAGGGTCTGGAAGGATCGATCGCCATGAAGGAAAAGGGTGCCTTGAGAGAAACGGGTCCTGAGGACATTTAATCCTTGGTCCCTCCACAGGCCCCAGCCCGTCAACGACGACCCTGGACGACCCTTATCCTACATGCCGAAGGATCGAGGCTGCTCGAGGAACGAGGAGGATCGAGGATGGAGAAGTCATCGATGAGGAGGATTGAGGTTGATCGAGGTCGGGGATCGAGGACGGCCTCTGGCATGATCCGTAAGGGCTTCGCCCCCTGCCGCCGGCCCCCTCTCTCGGAGAATGGGCCATGGAAGAGCTAAGTCATGAGGCTTTGGCGCTGTCGTGCAGCAGTATCGGAACTTCATGCGAGGCCGATTCGCAATCGGCAAAACCAACTGATCACAAGAGGGGTTACCACACAGGGCGATTGGTAAGACGTGTATGGTTTACGAGCTTGGTTACCACACCTTGGGATTAAAGGGCCGAGGGAGTACTCGCAGTTTGGGTTACCACGCCTTGCGATGGATGTGCGTGAGGGGTGGCACCGAATTTCAGAAATGTGGCAAATCCCCTGTGTTTTTGGACCCTGACCCCGCGGATCTGCGTGAGGGGTGGCACCGAATTTCAGAAATGTGGCAAATCCCATGTGTTTTTGGACCCTGACCCCGCGGATCTGCGTGAGGGGTGGCACCGAATTTCAGAAATGTGGCAAATCCCATGTGTTTTTGGACCCTGACCCCGCGGATCTGCGTGAGGGGTGGCACCGAATTTCAGAAATGTGGCAAATCCCTGTGTTTTTGGACCCTGACCCCGCGGATCTGCGTGAGGGGTGGCACCGAATTTCAGAAATGTGGCAAATCCCATGTGTTTTTGGACCCTGACCCCGCGGATCTGCGTGAGGGGTGGCACCGAATTTCAGAAATGTGGCAAATCCCATGTGTTTTTGGACCCTGACCCCGCGGATCTGCGTGAGGGGTGGCACCGAATTTCAGAAATGTGGCAAATCCCTGTGTTTTTGGACCCTGACCCCGCGGATCTGCGTGAGGGGTGGCACCGAATTTCAGAAATGTGGCAAATCCCATGTGTTTTTGGACCCTGACCCCGCGGATCTGCGTGAGGGGTGGCACCGAATTTCAGAAATGTGGCAAATCCCTGTGTTTTTGGACCCTGACCCCGCGGATCTGCGTGAGGGGTGTCGATTTCGAGCCCCCCCAGCAATTCAGACAACGCGCCCAGGAGACGCTAAAAATTCCGTTTGGGCCTCCCCCCCCCCTCGCGCGGTCAATCAACTAGTTACAATAACCAGCAAGAAGCAGAACTGTAACACTGGAAACTACAAGCTACAACTGGTACTGGAAACTGCGAACCCGTGCCTCGCAGCCTGGTGGCCCCACAAGGGGGCCGGCGGATATCATCTAGCTGCATACGGCAATTCCTGCAACCGTGACAGCCCAACATTCGGCGTTGCGATTGTTTGGGAGAGGGCACGGGATACCGTCTCGTGCGACACCTCGTGTCTCCAGGCTCGGGAGATCCTCTGTGAAAGTGATGATCATTATATGGATGATGGTTGTGATGAGCATGATCATTGAAATGATTATGCTGACGACGATGATGATGATGGTGGTGATGGTGATGATGATGTTGATGCTGATGCTGATGCTGATGATGATGGTGATGATGGTGATGGTGGCGGTGATGACCACGCTGATGATGATGTTGATGATGATGATGACGACGATGATGATGATGGTGGTGATGATGATGATGGTGGTGGTGATGGTGGTGATGGTGGTGATGGTGGTGATGGTGGTGATGGTGATGACGACGACGACGATGATGACGATGATGATGATGATGATGATGATGATGATGATGATGATGATGATGATGACGATGATGATGATGATGAGGATGATGATGATGATGGTGGTGGTGGTGGTGGTGGTGATGATCTGGAGGAGGAGGAGAAGGAGGCGGAAGAGGATGATGAGGAAGAGCAGGGGGGGGAAGAGGACGGTCCTCACATATAACACCGCTCGTCTTCACGATTTGAGGAGGCCTCATGAAACTCGTTTGGGCCCCTTGGGCCGTCTTGAGGTCGTATTGCGCCGGGTTGGAGCTCTTGGGCCATCTTCGAGCCGTCTTGGCTTTGTCATTGGCCGTCGAAGGGCCTTCGAAGGCCGGTATGGGTCTCACGGGAGGCACTCTTGGGCCGTCTTCGAGCAGCTTTGGATGTCTCTTGGGCCATCGTAGGGTCCTCGTGGGCCATTTTGGGACCCGCTTCGGGACTTCTTGGGCCGGCTTGGAGCCATCGTGGAGGATTCTTGGGCCGCCTGGAGCTGACCGAAGGCCGAAAAGGTGAGAGTGGGACAAGCAATCGAAACCAAAGGGAACTCAACAAGTTTGGCTTCTTCAGGCTCTGTCGTAGGTCCTCTTGTGGTTCCCATCGAGCGCTCTTGCATGCATCTTGGGCCGTGTTGAGGACAGATTCGGTCGCCTTAGGGCTATCTTGGGCTATCTTCAAGATCCAGACTGCCTGTCTGGCGCGTATTGCAAGCTCAGGATGCGGACACATAGGTTTTGTGGGGAGGGGGAGGGGGGGGTACGCAGAAATTGCAGATTTTGGCCTCGGGAGCGCGGACCCATCGTTTTTGTTACGAGGGGTTGTTATCTCGGGATTAGGATTCAGATGCAGAACCCTATCAAGGCAGCACTTGGTGCTCTACCGCGTCTGAACGCGCCAGGGGACACGGTGGCGGATCTTGTCGGGGGCACGCCGATGCGGATCAGCGCCATCCCGGGTCAGCTAAGGCCACGTGCCAGAACCCAGGTTGGCCACGAAAGAGCTCCCAAGCCCGGGTCAGCGGAGGGTACGTGTCTCTCAAATTTACGTTGCATCTTCGAGGGACTTGTCTGTCCCATCGCGTCGCTATCCGCACCAAATCCGCGGCGATCTCGCGTCGATCCCGCCTCGAATCCAAGCCAAGTGCGCGTAGATAGTATTCGACTCCACGCAGACTCCGCGTCGAGCCTTTACAGACGCAACCAAACTGGGGTCAGCCGGGAGGGATCGGAGCGGATTGTCTGACCCCCGTGCTCACCCTCGTCAGGCGCCCCCGCGATTGAGGATCGACGTGGGTCGAAGATTGAGGAGGGTCGAGGATGTTGAGCATGATCGAGGTCGAGGGTCGAGGAGGATCGACGGTCGAGGTGGATCGAGTGTCGGCGCTTGAACAACATGTTTTGGGGCCTCTCTGGGTCCTGTGGCGCTATTGACTCCCCTCGAGGCTCTGGCCGCAGCACGCCCCAGGACGGGTCCGACGGGCGACTTGCCGTCAGGAACGTTTGCTCAGCGTGTCGCGCCACCTGCACTGGCCCACCATGCTTCGGCGCGACACGCTAAACACGTCCTGGTCCCCAAGCATCAAGGTTCTGGGAGTTTCCCAGCCTCCAGTCCCACGAAGTTAGAGCGACACGCTATCAGCTAGGGAAAAACCCGCTCGCCGTTTCCTCTGTTTTGCATCCCGATGGGCCTGGCTCGGGATCACGCGCGTGAGCGATGCAAAGCACGCGGGGTCGACTGCGCGGGCATTCGCGCGCTAGCTGCCCGCGTGAGGCCGCGCGGAAGCGCCCTCGTTTCTGCTCGGCGTGTGCGGCTGGCGGCTCGCATCAGCCGCCGCGTAAGGCTCCCGTGCCGCCTCGCGCAAAGGCCCTCTTTCTACCTCTCACGCGAGTGCGCCCGGGCCTCGGCCGGCCGGGATCGGGCAGACCCAGGCCGAGGACAGCTCGCTCCAGCGCTCGGGGAACGGCCGCCGCGCCCGACATTTCCTCCAGGCGTGCCGGGTCTCAGAGATCCCCGATGTTGTCCTCACGCGGATTTGTCCTCGTCCTGCCCTGCGGGCGACGAACATAAGAGGCATCATTCAAGAAGCGGCCTCGCCTGCGAGGATCGCAGGCGTCGATGCCTCTTCCTCGGCGGAGAAGGTGGCGGAAGCATCCCGCGGAAGGCCGTCGGAAGCCGGCGGAAGTAAGAATCGGCCTCCCAAGAGATCACCGGCCTCGAATTTATCCCTATCCCTAAGATTGACACGCCGACAGGCGATGAAAATCTTAGGGATGCGCCCTAAGAAACTGAGGGATTCCCTAAGATTGGCATCGTGATGGGGCGATGCCCAGAATAGGGATAGGGATCTGTCCCAGGCTGGTGCAGAGATGGCAAGGTTTTGTGGTGCAGGGTTTTCTGAGCCCGCCATATCCGCATCCGCGGCCTCACAGGCCAGGCCCTGGGCCCGCGACCCCGCGGACACGGGGCGTTTGTTCGCGGATGCCCCGCGCGGAACGTCTCCTTGCGACCGCGCATCTGCGGGACCGCGCCCCAGAATCCAGTCCGCGAGGGCGTAGGTTTTGTCATACGTCTCCGCTCGTGTCTGCTCTCGTTTTGGCGGGCTCGGCCGGCCGGGACGAGGCCGGGGCGTGCGGTGGCGAGCTGGAGACCGAGCGACCGATGGCCATCGTGGTCCCGATGGTCGGGCTCGGCAACGCGTTTGCGCAGGCCTGGGCCTGCCTCGCGCGCTCGCGCGGAGGGGGGAGGCCGGGTGAGGGAGGAGGTCACCTTTCTTGTCGACTGCACGCAAGAGAGACCTTTCGCCGGAGTGGCATGTGGTGCGGGCCCCCTGGGGTCCCCCGATCGCTGATCGGGAAGCGGTAGCAGCGGCTTGCGCACCCAGGTTCGGCCACCCCGAGTCCCCCGTCAGGTCGCGCACCGAAGGCCACTCCTGCCCAGGGTCACTCTTTTACGCGTAGCCGATTCGTGCTGGCGGTTGCTGTGGTGGGCATGGAGGAGTGGCACGGGGACCGATGGGGAAAAGGGCCCACCCACAATGCCACCAGCTCTTCCTCCGAGCTTCTGCTGCCCTCGCCAGTGCTTCCCAGCGAGCTCGAGGCTGCCCTGCCTGTCGGCCGCGGGTGCCGCGGCCGCTCCTGACGCTCCTGGCGGATCGCCTCGGAGCCTCCGCAAGGAAGGGGGGGAGGAGGAGGACGCATCACGGCGCGGAGTCTTTCGCCATTCTCGGCAGCCGCGGGCCCTTCCTTGCGCCGTCAACAGAAACGGCCCGGGACGAACAGCCTGTCCCGGGCACGGGGTCCAGCGGTGGGCGCAGGGAGGAGGAAGGCCAGGAGCGACGAGACGGGAGACAAAGGACGGGGAGGAGGCGCTCGCGCGCGATGATAGACTGGGCGGGTGCCGTGCTCGAATCAGCAGCAGAGGGCCTACACAGGTGCAGACTCACGCGGCCGTTGCATCTCGCCATGGCCCCTTGCCCGGAACCGAGCGAGCAGGAAGGCGGCGACTGCCCTGAGTGTTGCCATCGACCGAATGCGCAGATGCTTCGAATGCCAGGGAGGCTCGAAGACCAGGCGGGCTGGCGCCAACTCAGGCACGAGAAAAGGGACGACGAAGAAGAAGAAGAACACTAAGAAAACGAGTACGAATAATAGTCATAACCAGCATACTGAGAAGAAGAAGAAGCAGGGGCAGGGACGGGAAGCCAGGGTGGAGTACACTGTCAAGGGAACTGATGTTGGAGCAGTAAGACTCGAACTCTAGGAGCGATTCGCAAAGTGACAATCAGGAAGGAAACAAACACAGACACAAGTAATCGTCGATTCCGCAGAAAATATGGGAAAATATGGGAAGTGGGGGGGAAGACAAAAACCTAAACAAATATTGGCAAATATGGGGAATCCTGTTATTTGTGTGTATTTATTTGTGTGCCATTGGGTCCCTTGAGACAAGCAAGGCAGGCGGTCGCACGAAGGCCAGGGGGTGGCCTAACCCCTGGAGTAATTACGGAAGTGCGATCGCGGGCGACCCACGACAAGTGCGCCTGACGGATACCAAACGTCGAGAGCAAGCCATGCATTGAGCGATTCAGCATGAGTAACACATCAACCACAATGGCTTCAGAAGGTGCCGCAGCTGACGAAGTGAAAGCAGCTGGCCGCGAGAACAATGTGAAGCAGTCGAGGCCAACTGGGAACCCTGGACCCGGGAAAGCAAGTGCAACGCGAACTCGACACGGTCAGTGCTGACAAGACTGGAACAACGTCATGGGTATGGTCTTCATGGCATGCACGGCGCTAGCATTCGACGACCCATTGGCGAATTGGATGCCGCAGGGCGGGAACGCGAAAGAGGCCAGCATACCAACTGAGCCGATGGCCCGCACGACGGACAATAGCGATTGCCTGATATCGGTGTCCACGAAGCCATAGCAAGAGAAGCTGATGCTCTTGCAGCCTGGGGTCCCATCGCCGAAGATGTCCTGCTCACCCTTCACCGTGTCCGTGAAGAACGGGGCCGCGTTGACGCACCCCACGGCGCACAACTTGCAACCGATGTAGGGCGAGCGCTGCGAACGGAGCGATACAACCGTGCGGCACGTCGGCGGGCTCGACACCGAGGCGTTTGGACGCCTGCCAGGCATCAGGGGACCTGCGGCCGCCCGCGCGGGCGGGGCCCCGGCCTTCTGGGGCGGCGCGCAGGCGCCCGGACCGGGGTGCCGAGACTTGCCGGGAAGGGGGCAAGACGGTCGCGGCTACAGCTCGGGCTTGCCAGGAGGATGGGGGGGGGCAGGAGGGAGGGAGGGAGGGTATCGGCATCGGTATCGGTATGGGTAAGAGTCGACTCCCTGCCGGTTTTTGGGGACCCCAAACGGGTCACGGAGAAGATTGATGGGCGAACGGGTCCCACCCTCTGTGGGGGGCCCGAGCAAAGAGGGAGCCTGGCCTGGGGTCGAGTCCGAGGGCGGCGCGCCGTCGAAGCCACCTCCTCTCCCGAGCGGCCTCCCTCTTCTTCTGAATTAGAGCCCTGAGCTCAGGAGAAGGCTCAGGGACAGTGGGCTGGGCAGGGGGCGGAGGAAGAGACGGAGGAGGGGGGGGGGAAGAGGAGGAGAATACATAGGTTCTCGATTGGAGTCTCCATGGGTCGTTTTCGTCCCGGAGGGCGATGCCCGCCCTGGCGCGTGCGCCTCCACCCCGCAGGGCCTTGGGGCCATCGCAACTGGGGCGGCGGCACTGTCCCTCAGGACTTGGTCCCAGACACGGGGGAGGGAGGGAGGTGTGAAGAGTGCACTCCCCTGCCCCTCTGCCGCCCGTGCCACCATGTGTGTATGTTGTACACGCTTGTCTTGTTTTGTGGCATGCACGCTGCCCGCCGCTGTTTTGGCCCTAGTCCTAGGGCCCTGGGACGCACCCGCAGTTGGACTGCCGCGCGGTCTTTGCTGAAAACAACTGCACTGACATTGGTAGCGGAGCTAGTAAGCTCCAGCGGACGCACTGCGTGCTCTGCTTCGGTGGTTGTGACCACCCGCGTGGGCCGCCATGGCCACCAGCCACGACGGCTCAGACGTGGAGGCTGCGTCCTCCGCAGGCACAGGTCCCCCGGACCTGCATGCAGTCCTGCGCGTGATGGCCGAGACCCAGCGGGAGCTCTTGGCCTTGCATCGGGATCGTGGCGACGGCGGTCCCAGACGTACACGTCTACTGCTGTCGCAGGTGAGGCTCCCAGAGTTCGATGGTGGAGTCGGTACGAGTACTAAGAAGTACCGAGAGTGGCGCAAGGAGGTTGAAGTCATCCGCAACCTCAATCAGCTCTCAGACGTGGAGCTGGGCCTGATCATCTACAGTCAAGTGACAGGTCGAGCCAAAGAGCTCATCGAGGTGCTTGACGCGTCGGACCTCCGACGCGAGGAGACGCTCGAGACCATCTTTGCTATCTACGACGACGCCTTCGAGAAGATGGATCACGAGCGCCTCGATCAGGTGCATCAGGATTGGGAGCGAGCACACCGTCGAGCTGGGCAGCCGATCATGGATTGGACCACGTACCTGCGCAAGAAGCGCATGGAGTTGCAGCTCGAGGATCCCACATCAGCGATCAGCGATCGCGCATTGGCAAGCAAGATGCTTCGTGGCGCTGGACTGTCGCAGAAGGAGCGAGCGCAGGTGCTCTTCAACTGTGGCGGCATCTACGACTCGAAGCGGATGGAGGTTGTGCTGAAGGCAGCCTATTCGAAGGTGCACGACACCGAGAAGCGCTCAGTGCTCCCTCGCCGCTCGCCGTTTGCGGCGCAGCGTGAGCACGGGCGCTCCTCTGGGAGTTCGGGCGGTCGCTATCCGCACCCTCCCATGGCTCGTAGGCCATACGTGCTGCGAGGACGCCCTGGCCAGCACGTACACGAGGTAGAGAACGGCGAAGACTACGATGAACACCACGGCGACCTCGAGGAGGCGCAGCATGACGAAGATGAAGCAGACGACCAGGACGATGGAGACCATGGAGGGGCCGAGGGCACCCTCTTCGAGGACGGCGCTGAGGTCGACGAGGAGCTGGTGTCGGACAACGACGGGCCTGACGACGAGGAGTACGAGGCACCGGAGGATCTTCAGGAAGCGTTCTTGGCCGGCTGGAGGGCCAAGCAGAAGACGGCGGTACAGCGTCAGAAGCGCGGGTTCGTTGCTCCTCGGCAGCGGGACCCCAAGAAGATCAACGCTAGCGGCTCCTTCCAGGCTGGTCGGAAGCCGACAGACCAGCGCAAGGCTAACAGCCGGTGTGCTGACTGCGATCAGCCTGGCCACTGGCGTGGCGACCCGGAGTGCCCCAAGGTGAAGAGTGGCGAGCGCGAGCCGTACAACAAGATCGGGCCTAAGAATGGCCAGCCAGCGTCGCCCAACCAGCGGACCTCTGTGAAGCCGCCGGCGCCTAGGCAGGTGCATGGACCGATCGTCCACTGGGTTGGCATGGCAGGCAGTGCCGAGGAGCGTCGTGGCCGCGCTCCATGGCGCCGTGCTCCCCAGTCGGTGCCTGCCCAGAGGCATCCAGTGGAGGGTCGAGCGGACGCGCCAGAGCGGATCATTATGCACCCCAGGCCCAAAAGCATGCCTGCGCCGAGCCTACGCCAGGACGCCGACGACGGCCCAGGGGCCGCACAGAGCAGTGATGAACGCGCGCGCGCCCGTGCCAGGCGCGGGGAGGATCAGGAGGACGAGGATGCTGTCGTGCGTTGCCATCGCATTCTGGCCAACACCCACGCAAAGGGGCACAGCGTGGAGTTGGAGTTTCCTGACCTTGCCACGGTCCATCACATCGTGGAGCGCGTGACGAACAAGAAGCCTATCTTCTTCAAGCAAGGCCGCTTCGAGAGCCTCGACTTCGTCCAGGGTCGGCTCGTGCGCCTGCAGCTGACCACATCGAGGCCTTGTACGGCGGCTGAGGTGGATCTCGACGAGATCACGGCAACTATATTCAAGATCGTGATGGGCGGCAATCGCGATACCAAGCCACGTGACGATCGGCGCGGTGAAGGCGGGAGTCGTGACACCAAGCAGCGTGAAGATCATCATCGAGATCGTCGGGACGACCGCCAGTGTGATCGGGGAGCTGTTCTTCGCGAGCCTCGCGCCCCTCCTCCGCCCGAGGCGGAGGCTTCCTCGCGTTCAAGGTCGCGGAGTACACCAGGAGGCCGCGGTGTGAAGAAAGAGAAGCGGAGTCCA